CCCCCCCGCCCCTCCCTCCCCGGCACCCGCCTCCCTCACGGGCTCGTAGACGCAAGGCCAGGTCTTGCCAGGCCAGACCTGGGCAAGGTACAAACACGAGCTGATGGATAGACAGACCGACAAACAGGCAGCCAGGCCGTAACGCACACCCCCGCCCCTCTGCCCAGCCCCCCAGCCTTCTCACCGAATAGCGGGCAAGGAAGTAGGGGCACCAGCCCTGGCGCCGCCCCAGGGCCTTCAGGTCATCCAGGTTGTAGATGCCAGCAGGGAGGGGCACCTGGCGCCCATGGACGTCAAACTCCTGGGGGAGGGGAGCGGGGGTCAGGGAGGTCGGCTGTCGCAGCCGGCTTACCCTCCTGCCCTCCCTCCCTCAGCCCATTCGGCGGGCACCTCGTAGAAGCGGCAGTGGGGCAGGCTGGGGTCCTGCTGGTACTGTGCGCGCACGTAGGAGGCCGTGAGGCTGTGGCATTTCCCGTCGACGTCTTTCCCAAAGCGCAGGGGCATCACCTGGCGGCCGGGGGGCATCTTAGCACCAAGAAGCTCAAGCATTCCTCAACCATGGGGCTCTACACCTACCAGCTAGGTGGGATGGGGGGCTGTCTGGAGAATCGGGAATTGTGGGCAAACTTGAACCTCAATTTGTTTCCTTATTAAACAGTTAAGACGCTTGCGAACTTAACCGAGGAGGTATCAGAGGAGAGCAACTGCTAGACTCCTACACTGATCTTGGGATTGTGAGTTCGAGCCCAATGCTGGGTATAGAAATTACTTAAAACATAAAATCTTGGGGCACCGGGGTGGCTCAGTCGGTTAAGCATCCCGACTTCAGCTAAGGTCATGATCTCACAGTTCATGATTTCGAGCCCCACACTGGGCTCCGCTCTGTCAGTGTGGAGTCTGCCTGGGATTCTCTTTCCCTCTCTCTCTGCCCCGCCCCCACTTGTACATTCGTGTGCACTCTCTCTCTCTCTCGCACCAATAAACTTAAAAACAGTAACAGTGAGGAAATAAAATCTTTAGGGGCACCTGGATGGCTCAGTTGGGGAAGCATCCGGCTCTTGATCTTGGCTCAGGTCATGATCTCATGATTCGTGAGATGGGAGCCCCACGTTGGGCTCTGTGCTGGCAGAGATCAGAGCCTGCTTGGGATTCTCTCTCCCTCCCTCTCTCTGCCCCTCCCCCATTCACACACTTGCATGCGCTCTCTCTCAAAATAAATAAACTTAAAAAAAAAAATCTTTAGGGGCGCCTAGGTGGCTCAGTCGGTTGAGCGACCGACTTGGGCTCGGGTCATGATCTCACGGTTTGTGAGTTCGAGCCCTGTGTAGGGCTCTGTGCTGACAGCTCAGAGCCTGGAGCCTGCTTCGGATTCTGTGTCTCCCTCTCTCTCTGCCCCTCCCCTGCTCATGCTCTGTCTCTGCCTCAGAAATAAACATTAAAAAAAAAAAAAAAATCTTTATATATAAAAAAAAAAGAACAGATTGGTGGTTGCCAGGGGAGGAGAGTGAGAAACGGGTGAAGGGGATGAAAAAGGGCAAACTTCCAGTTTGAAATAAATGAGTTCTAGGGATGTAACATACAGCACGGAGACCATAGTTCATAATACCATACTGCATTATTGCAAGTTCCTAAGGGAGATCTGAAAAGTTCTCATTACGAGACAAAAAAAATTTTTTGGAATTACATAAAGTGATACATATAACTAGACTTAACCATGGTGATCATTTTGCACACTATACAAGTACCAAATCTTTTTTTTTTAATTTAACGTTTATTTATTTTTGAGACAGACAGAGACAGAGCATAAACAGGGGAGGGGCAGAGAGAGAGGGAGACACAGAATCAGAAGCAGGTTCCAGGCTCTGAGCCATCAGCCCAGAGCCCGACGCGGGGCTCGAACTCATGGACCGCGAGATTGTGACCTGGGCTGAAGTCGGACGTCTAACCGACTGAGCCACCCAGGCGCCCCTACAAGTACCAAATCTTTACGCTGCCCACCTGAAACTAACATTGTATGTCAATGTCACCTCAATTTTTTAAAAAAAAATCAAGCTTTGAAGACTCTTTAGCGCGTGGGTTAAGGATAACGGCTTTATCTTTACAAATACTAAAATACCCAGAACCTTGGCAAATCTAAGAATCAGAGGAGGTCTGATGGCCTTGAGAACTGTCCTGGCCTAGCCTCTGAGCCTC